ATTTGTTTTTTGTTGTTTAACTTTTTGAGTTCTTTGTATTCTCTAGAAATTAGAGCTCTATCTGATGTGTGAGGGATAAAAAATTTGTTCCCAGGATGTAGGCTCTCTCTTCACCTCACTGATTGTATCTTTTGCTGAGAAGAAACTTTTTAGTTTGAATCTATCCATTTATTGATTCTTGCATTCTTCCTTTTAATGAAACCTTTTTGTGTCCCCTTCTGTAACATTATAGAGGACATAAAACACAGATGATTTTCTCTGGGTATATGTGTAATGCTACTTTTGTTTAAAGGTGGAAATAAAAATTTTCTCTCCACAGCATTTCAATAATTGCGCTGCCCAGGTATTATTATGAAAAAGCCTCCCAACTATTAAGGCCAGGTGTCAATGTGAAAATGTAATTGAAATATGAGTATGTAATGGGTTATGAAATTCTAAAATGAAATGCCAGGCCAAGATAAAAATTTTTTTCAAAGGAAATGTAATATGAATGGGTTTCTTGACTATAAAATCTCATTTGGAGTAGAAATAGTAAAAAAGAAGAAAGCGTGAAGGAAGATTTGAAAGAAGGTGATTTTTTCCCCCCAAAAACCCACAAAGTTGTTATTTCCTCAGGATTTCAAGTTAAGATCAATGATTTCTACCAGGATCAATCAGAAAGGCCGAGATATGGCCCCACAGTTAGGGAGTATATAGAAGGTGAGATAATGGCTAATTGCAATGGGCATGAAATGAAGCTCCAGTATTGGGATTGTCCCGCTGGCCTGGTTGTTGCAGGGTCAAGGATGCCTGAGTGTGTCCTGGGCACCTCATGTGGTCAAAAGTGAGATTTGACATAGTTGTTTTATTAGGTACTGTGCAGGCAGGTCTACAGGACAGCAAACAAGCCTCAACAGGAGAGGTGAGAAGTGGATTACACGAATAGTATATTATGTTATATATTTATTATATGTATCATATTATATAACATATATAACATGACACTATGTATAAATATAAATAAATATCTATATGTGTGTGTATATATGTGTGTGTGTGTGTGTGTGTGTGCATATATACGTATATATCTCTGTGGCAGAGGAAGAAATAAGTTTATCATTGAAATACAGTACATTTAAGTGGACTGTAGGCTAGAGACCATCTGAGATGACAGGTGAGTAGGGTTTGACTTCCAAAAAAATAGAAATAAAACTTCTTCAGGAGACAGTGTTAACTTTCAGCATTTGCACACTTGTGAAAGACAGAAAGCAACTTAAAACAGTTAACCAAATAAAAACTTTCCTGCCCCAGCTAATCTGTTTTCCTTGTTCTCACATTGAAGGAAGATTCACAATCATGGTTGGGAAGATGGAAGGTTCAAGAGAAGCCTAGGAGGAAGAGAGAGAAAAAGAACAAGAGTTCCCTTCTCCCCTTTATTGGCTTCCTCGCTCTGTAGACCTAAGCAGCTCTAAATTTTAATGGAGTTGGATACATTGATTTACAAATCTTGAAATTCAAAACTTTGAAAACTAGAGTGATTATAGTGCTTTTTTGTTATCTCAAAGTGAGAAGAGCCTGCTATGGTGGCATACACCAGTCATTCCAGCCACTTGGAAGGCTGAGGTGGGGAGGTTCACAGATTTGAGGCCATCCTTGGTTAGTTAGCAAGAACTTGTCTAAAAAGAAAAAAAGAAAGAAAGAAAAGGTCTGGGGGTGTAGTTGAGTAGTAGAGCACCTCTAAGTTCGATCCCCAACACCATATACACACACACGCACACACACACACAGAGTAAATAAATAATAAATAAAATAAAGTGAGAATAATAATATGCACCTACCTGTACTTTATTCCAGGATCAAAGGGAAGAGCTCATACTGCTGAATAAAAGAAACAAAGATTATGTTCTTAGGGTATATCTAACTATTGATTCTTATGACGTGGTAGACAATTTGTCCTGCTTTATCCGTCTCATACATAGAAATTTTGTGTGTTCTACTCTTCTTGTCTATGTGTATCACCGTGTGTATGTATACATACACACACAATATTCTTTATTGTTTAATTGATCTGGTGTCTCAGTATAATATCAATTATAGGAACAGCTTTTTGAACTTAAAAATTATTAGAGTCAGACTCATATTATAAAAGCAATAGAGAAAAGTCAACCACTAATTGGAACTTGCAAAATATATTTTTACAGATTAAAATGAAAAAACAAAATGTCATTTAAATGTTTTAATTGGTTTCAGTTTTACAACTGCAAACCAGATGGTTTCTTTTCAAGTAGTTTACAATGTCTTTGCTGAATAACTGAATTACCAAAGCAGCTGTGGTTATTAACATTTACCTAAACAAAAAAGCATGCCTGCTATTTGTTTGCTGGGAGTACCTGCTTTGCAGAAGTTTTGCAAACAAATCCTGACTTCAGTTATTCTAGATATCATGATATTTTATAAAATAGAGAGTTGGGATAAACAATAGATACACATATTAACCTATTGTTAAACTTTTAGTTATTTACTAAGGTTAGAATCAAGGAACTCTATCGATTCTTCCAAATTTTATTTGTTTACAATAATAAAATTTATTTACATTTTTGATATAAAGAAATTGCTTTTAGACTTACAACAATTGATTTCATTCTCTTTAACCACCGACTAAAAGGTCATATTTTGGAAGCAACTCGTTCTAGAAATTTGTTTCTGATATTAGCCAAGGTTTTTCTAACTCAATACTCTCAACAAAGTTACGTTTCTACATGCTAATGGTACTGGAGTATTGGATAGAAGTTTAATTCTTGTTGGAGCCAATTAAGGAAGGAAACATTTAGGGTAAAATAATGGTAAGAAAATACTGTTTTAGATATTTTACCCCAAAAATAAATTTTTTGAAAAATTTAGATAGGAAAATCACATTGTAAATAATCTATGACAGTTTTTTTTTTTAATCAGAATTCTTTCCTTGGTAAATTGTATTGTTTCTGTAAAAGGACTGAAACAAATAATTTTTGTCCCACAAGTATATGATTGGCCAAGCATTTTTGTTGATCTGGGTTTAGCTTGACTGATCTTAGCTGGACTCTCTAATATCTACTGTCAACTGGATACTAGAAGGGGGCTGATTGTTGTAGGATGGTCAAGATAGTGACAACTCAGCTGTCCTCCAGATGTTTCTGATATTCCTTAGTGAGCTAGCCCAGGCATGTCCTCTTAGTCATGGCAAAGGAGCAAGAGCAGCAAGAGACCAAGTCCCAATGCATAGGAACTTTTCAAGGCTCTGGCTGGGCATATTTGATAATATTCTTCTGGGCAAAGCAAGTCATATAGTCCAGCCCAAAGTCAAATTGTTGGGCAAAATGCCTTGTCTTTGATTGGAGGGATGCCGAAATGGAGCCCTTAAAGAAATAAAAGGGACAAATGTTCTTATATTAATCTTTTATAGCATTCATGGGTGTGTATTCACATCCTTGCTTATGGATATTCAAGTTGCTTCTGGCTTTTTGTAACTACAATCAATGCTGCAATAAAAATCTATAAGCATACAACTTTATGCAAGCCTTAATATATTTGATTATAAAACATTTTAAGCATGCAAATATATGTCTTTACTAGTGAGATTATATAGCAGCTTTTCATATTTTGTCATACTTGTTTCAATCTCTGTGAATATCTTGTTGGTTGGTTGTAGGAAACAGGAGCAGCTAGAGCCCTAGCATCTATTTTTCTCTCCCTTTACAGAGGCACTCACTACTCTGAAGTTGGTATGTGTGGTCCCTTTCTTTCCAGAGGTACTTTTTCTGAAGTTTGTGTTGCTAATGGGTGCTATATATGATTGTTATTATGTAAAACTATATTGCTGCTTTATATTTCAACATTTCATATTTGAAATCAGTGTTACCATACTGCCCATAAGTTTCAAAAATTCCATTTTTTAGACATTATGTTTTTGTGATTTATCTGTATTAATGCATTTAGACTTATTTCAATCATTTCAGCAGCTACATGGCATTATTCCGTTGCATCAAGAAGACAGTTAATGGGAGGTGGTTTTATTTTTCCAAAGTATTGCTGTTGCAAAGAATGTTCAGATGACAACTTGTCTTTAGGAATGTACATGAAAGTTTATTAAGGGCAGAAATCTATGAGAATAATTTTTGTTTTGCTAAAGCACGTACATCTTGTACTACCTTCTTACAACCTCTCAAGAATTTCCAATTTATTTGCTTTTCCTCAAATTTGACAAAATTAGTTATTGTCCAAACTAATAATTTATGACAATAAATTTTGAATTGTACCTGATTTTTACTTAATTTGATATTATCATGATTTTAAGCATTTTTTTATGCTTACTTTTCCCAATCCAGTTTGTATAATCCCTTGACTATAGCACACAAATTTTTGAATGTTTGTCAGCTTCCAAAAAAACCTTGTGGATTGAAATTACATTGATTTTAAGAAATAATTCTGGAAAAATTGTTATATTTATGTTATTTTTGATTATTATTCATAAACATGTTATAACACTATATTTAATACCTTTATGCTTTTGATAATATCTTGATATAAGTTTTATATAATATTAAATTCTCATGAAATTTATGGTTTTGTTACTATCATAGACCATATTTTGAATTAATTAATTAATTAATTAATTAATTGTAATTAGTATATGTGACATCAGAATGCATTTTGATTCATTATACACAATTGCCACACAATTTTTCATTTTTCTGGTTGTACATGATGTAGCATCACACTATCTGTGCAGTCATACATGTACCTAGATTAATGATGTTCATCTCATCCCACCATCTTTCCTGCTCCATGCCCCCTCCCCCTCCCTTTTTCCAAAGTTTCTCCATTTTTACCATTCCCCACCACCACCACCCCAATTATGGATCAGCATCTACTTATCAGAGAGAACATTCGGTCTTTGGTTTTTTGCGACTGGCTTGCTTCACTTAGCATGATATTCTCCAACTTCATCCATTTACCTGTAAATGCCATAATTTTATTCTCTTTTAATGCTGAATAATATTCCACTATGTATATATACTATATACCAAAGTTTCTTTATCTATTCATCTATTGAAGAGCTTCTATGTTGCTTCCATAGTTTAGCTATTGTGAATTGAGCTGTTATAAACATTGATGTAGCTGCATTACTATAGTATGCTGATTTTAAGACCTTTGGGTATAGATCAAGGAGTGAGATAGCTGGGTCAAATGGTGGTTTCATCCCAAGTTTTCTAAGGAATCTCCATACTGCTTTCCAGATTGGCTGCACCAATTTGCAGTCCCACCAGCAATGTATGAGTGTGCATTTTCCCCCACATCCTCATCAATATTTATCATTGTCTGTATTCTTGATAACTGCCATTCTGACTGGCATGAGATAAAATTTGAGTTAAAGTTAAAGTTTTGATTTGCATTTATCTAATTGAAGAGATGTTGAACGTGCCAAAAACATACATTGTAGAAAAGATAGCCTCTTCAACAAATGGTGCTGAGAGAACTCCATATGCAGCAAAATGAAACTTAATCCCTATCTCTCATCATGCACAAAATTCAACTCAAAGTGGATCAAGGACCTAGGAATTAGACCAGAGAAACTGTGCCTAATAGAGGGAAAAGTAGGCCCAAATCTTCATCACATCAAATTACTCCCTGACTTCCTTAACACTGTGGAAGCAAACCAGATACCCTTCAGTAGATGAATGGATAGGGAAACTTTGGTATATATACACAATGGAACATTACTAAGCATTAAAAGAGAATAAAATCATGGCATTTTCAGGTAAATGGATGGAATTAGAGAATATATTGCTAAGTGATGTAAGCCAATCCCAAAAACCAAAGGCCAAAAGTTTTCTTTGTTATGAGGATGCTGACTCTTAATGCTGTTGGGGTGGAGAGCCTGGGAGAAGTGGAGGAGACTTTAGATAGGGGAAAGAGGAGGGAGGGGAAGGAAGGGGGCAAGGTAATAGGAATAATGGAGGAATGAGTTAGACATCATTACCCTAACTACATGTATGAAGACACCAATCTGTGACTTAAAAATGTGCTCTATATGTATAATATGAAATGAATTGCATTCTGCTATCATGTATAACAAATTAGAATAAATAAATAATTTAATAAACAAAGACTCCTAAATTGCAAGAAATAAAATCAAGAATTAATAAAGGGATGGACTCAAACTAAACAGCTTCTTCTCAGCAAAAGAAACAATCAATGAGAAAAGAGAAAGTCTACATTTTTGAAGCAAATTTTTGCCACATGAATGACAGATAGAGCATTAATCTCCAGGATATATAAAGAACTAAAAAACTTAACATCAAAAAAATATACAACCCAATCAATAAATAGGCTAAGGAGCTGAACAGACACTTCTCGGAAGGAGATACATATTTGATCATCAAGTGGAGCATATCTTTTTTAAAATCACATTTTTCTGTTTGTTGTAAAGTATAGGACCACTCTCAATTTTGAGGTCCTATCAAACTTGGTAATCTTTTTTACCTACTGAAATTATTTATCTGTAGGGTCTCACAATAATTTTTTTCTACAAATAATAACTTTTTTCTTCATTTCCAAAATTTTCTTTCTCTTATTCCTAATCTTTAATAACTCCCCTTTGCCTTATATCACTGGAAAGGTCTTCCAACATAATGTTGACTAGCAGCACTGAATGTTTATACTCTTACGTTCTTCTGAATTATAAGGAACTGCTTATAATATTTCAAAATTGAGTTTGATGTCTACAGTGAATTTTGAGAAATAACCTTCACTTTGGAGTTCACTCTAATCTTACTTTGCCTGTTGTTCACTTAAAATACAAGTGTCTGATGAATTTTATGCAAATATTTTATTTCTATTGAAATATTCATATGATGTTTTTCTCTTTTAGTGTGGTATTGCGCTGAATTATATTAATAGCTAGTCCAGAGTTAATCATCCTTACATTACTGGGTAAAATTTATTTCTCAATATAGTGCTTTTTTTTTTGCTAAGATTTTTATTAGGGTTTTCTGTCTAATTGATATGATCCACGTATAATTTTTCTGTTTTAATTGCACCTGTATTTTTATGCTATATAGTTTTTAATGCTATATTATCTTCATAAAAGATTTAAGTAACACCTTTCATCTGGCTTCTCTTAATATATTTCCTACTTCTTGTGTTTTTCCCTATAATTAATTTCATTTATTCTGATTGCACTTTAAAATTCTGAGATTCTATATCTTCTGTCAACTCAGGAAGATTCTAAGCCATTTAAAAAAGAATTGCCTTTCATACATCCCTTCCCTCCATTTGAAACCCACCTTCAATTTATATTGTAAATTCTCATTTATTCTCAATGCCTCAATTTCTCTTTAGTAGTTTCCAAGGTTTTTACATGTTTGTTCTACTTTTAGATAATTTCCTTATATCTATTTTCCAGTTCAATAATTCTCTTTATTATATTTAATCATTTTCAAAATGCTGATCTTTAGATTTTTGTTCTATTATCTCATATTTTGTATATATAATGTTGCTAAATCTTCTGACTGGCTAATTCTGCTTTCCTCTTGATTTTTTAAAATGTGTATGAGTTATATCTTCTGTTCCTCTTTTTAAAAATCCCTTTAATATTTTAATATATACACTCAATAAAATGTAGTTATTCAATATTCTACCTCACTTTTCACAAAAGAAAGAACTTAAAAGACTATTTTAATTATGATTATCTTTTCTACGTTCTCATATGTCATTATTTTTCATGATTTAACACCCCCCAAATTCCTCCAAGTTGATTATTATTATTTTACAGAATAAAAGTTTGTTTAGATTTACTCACTATGTACAACTGTTTGTGTCCAGTTTCTTATTTCTGGTGTTAATTTCTTTCTTCATGGAAGACATCCTTTAGACATTCTTTCTGAGAAAGATATTGATGTTAATGCTTGGTCTTTGTTTATCTGAACATGTGTTTTATGTTACAATCACTTCTGAATGATAGTTTGATTATTAAAGTTTAAGTTGAGTATTATTAGATTTTTGGCAGTTTAATTTTTTAGTTCAGTGTCTTTTGGCTTCTTTTGCTTCCATAGAGAATTATGTTCTGTTTATTTTTTCTAGCTGCTTTTATAATCTTTCCTTTGTCAATAGCATTTGGCAATTTTTATAACATGTTTTGTAGATTTTGGATTTTTGGCCTATTCTGATTTTATTCTCTCATTCTACTTTTGTCCTCCTGAAAGTCTACTATTTCTATCCATATTTTAAAAAGTCTCTTCCATCTTGTACATCACTTTATAATTTCTTTAATTTACAATTCATTACTTCTCTATTCTGTGGGTTTAATGTCTTATTTAATTACATTCAAATACCTTATTGACAGTTCATTTGGATTTTAAAATATGGCTGGCTTCATTTTTTTTACACTAACAGTTTAAAGTTTCTTCTTTTTAAAAACTTAAAAATCTTTTGCATTCTATATTCAATCATGTCTTTATCTGATGTTCTTGTAAGCCTGTCTCAAATGTCTATTATTTCTCTTGTGCTTGCTGCAGATGTTTAGTTTCTTTATATTGTTTTCTACTTTTGCACTGTAAGTTTTTGGAGAGCAGCATAAGGCAGGTGGAGATTACTAGCAGCTAGAATTGGGGAGGATATTACAAGGATATTGTCATGATAATGACAATATGGTGATTTGCTGTGAGTCAAATATAAGATTTTCTTCTTTTAAAACATGTCTTCACATTTTGGTGTCTGATTATGATTACTGAATTAACCATAAACTTTTAATTGGAAAATATATCTTAAGAGAACATAATATCAAATCACAATGGTAGTACTTGACATAAGTAGACAATCCATCTGTTTCATATACATCATGGTAGTTTTATAGTACTCAATGATGATTTGCTGCCATAATAGGAAAGAGGTTTGTATTCTGGACAGCTAATATATAGGGAAATATAACCTATACTTAGAGTGTTAGGTATTTCTCCCTTTTAAGATCATATAGTTATGTTTAGAGATTAAGGAATCACAGATAGTAAGTAATCGAAGTATATTCAGACTCCAACAAAAATCTCCACTCATGCTCACATCTGGTATGACTTCTATAATGCCTCCTGTGGCAGAGATTGCAAATTAGTACATATTCCTTGTTGTTTTTCCTAGGCACATGATAAGCCTAGAATATTAACACCGTTTTCTACTTTGATTTACATGTTGGTGTCCTCATGTTTCAGAGCTATGGCTGAAGGATCAGAAATGATGTACATGTAACTTCTATTTATTGACTTTACAGAAAGGAGGCCTTTGCTTCACCTCTACCTCCTTCTTTGTGTTTGTTGGACCCCAGAAATGCTTGCAGAAGATCAAGTGTTTTTTTTTAAGTAGTTCTCAGTAAGAAATAAGACAATTTTATTATTTAGATTACTAGTCTCTCAATATTACACATTTAGATGAAGTCAATTTTTAAATATAAGCAATTTAACTAGGTTTGATCAAAACATTCACAACTGGATTACCCCCCACCCCATTTTATTATAAACTTATTTTTCAAATGAGAAATAATATTGCTAAATTAAATTGATAGGAAATTAGAAAATTTCCCTTAAAATTAGTATTTTCATTTACATTTTGTAATTTTTCTTCCAGCCTTTTCTTCTAAACTTTATTGTTAATGCATTTTTATCATTTACAATACTAAGGTGTATATTTTATAAATTTCTATCTGAGTAGTAAAATCTTTATTATAAGTGAGTATTTGGCACTCTGTGAAACTTCATTGATTTAACTGAATTTCTTACGATGTCCTGATTTTGCGCTGTGATAAATCTCATGGTCACCATATACTAAATGTATGACTTTTAGGAAGTTACTTCTGTTTTTTTCCTTTCTTCTGTGTAAAAATTCTTGGAGTAATAGTACTTAACTGCTATAGTTATATGTGAGTATATGCACATATGCATATGTGTGTGTGTGCTGTGCGTGGGTGCACACTCCTGGCCATGAGTTTAGTGTTTAGAGCAGTTCCTGGTACATGGTAAACACTCATAAATTATTCAGTTATTTATTGATAATTTTTATAATAGCCTGAGATTACTGAATAAAATAAACAATGCTTTGTAAGCACAAATTAGCTTTATTTTTCTCCTTTTCTTCTAAATCAGGTAAACTTTTTTTCATCTTAAATGATTGCTGAAAAAAGTCTAAAGTTTAAGCCAATATCTTTCATCAGTGCTGGGAAACAGATTTGTATCCCTTTAGTCACCCTATATTTACTATGAAAAGTGGAATAGTCAGGGAAGGAAAGGTGATAAGAAAAGCTACACTTGGCTGAGGTAAAGGATTTGAATTATGAATATTAACTAAGAGGCTGCACAAGTAAGGTGAAATTCTCCTACACTTTTGGAGTAATTTGTCTTAGAATGGACTACTGAAAAACGAAAACAGCACATTTTCCAAAATTTTGTAAATTCTGGGTCTCACAAATGATGAATGAAGCCATAACAGAGATATCATAAACTAATAAAAAATTTTGGCAACTATATTGCATCTGGAAGATTAAAACATTTATTAAAACCATTATTATAATCAACATGATTTTCAGCTCTAATAAAATGTGAAGCAAAAACTCTGGAAAATATGAATCAATCCAAACTGTATTAATTATTATTAACCATTTTTGTGATGTTTTGCTGATAAGTTTTAAAAAAGCAATTCAGAAATAATCTTCCAAGTCATTCATTTTACTTAAAATGATTAAAAATGTTAATTCACAGAACTACATTACCTGGTAACATATAACCTAGCACACATCCATATGTGATCATTATTAATACAACTTATGAAAAGCAAAATCAAATTATTTTTCAAGATTGTATCAAATACCAAAAAGTATTAATATTTTCAGCTCTTAATGTAAATAATTTTCTTAGAGAAATAGTGTAATTAAATATATTCAGTAAAGTTTTAAACTATAAACAACATCAAGTAGTCAAAATATGAAATATTATTTTGAAAGTATATTTATAGCAGAAGATATGAATACCTATGAAGATAATTTTTAATATTATGCATATTAACATTATCTCAAAAATGATTTTCACATTTTAATATATTTTCTCTGAGTTTTGTGCAATTGCATGCATGCATATATAGGTGTTATTGTCAATATTCTTAGGATCACATTTATTTGTATACAAGTATTTTTCTCTCATTTGACATTAATGCAGATTTCTTACTAGGCTATTAAGCATCATTTTAATTAGCTCATAATAATATTTAATATATGTACAAAATTATACATTAGACATCTTTTTTCAAGTATTCATTATTTTCAAATTTGTGCACAAAATATATTTTGCCTTTAGAATAATTTTTTAGGGTAGATTCTGAAAAACAAATGCAAAACTATAAAAAATATTTTAGCAAACGTTAAATACAATAACATATCTGATAGCTTAATGTACTTAAAATAGTTTCTCATGAACACCAACTTCTTGGAGTAGTGTGACAGGACAAAAAGAAATCTTTCAATAATTTTCCTTAAACAAATTTGGTTACATTTACACAGTAAGTAGCACAATCAAAGAGGCCATTCTTTAAAAATCAGGGCAAAATTTATATTAGAGGAAGGACTGGATTGGATAAAGAAAAGGAAGTATTTATGCCTCTTGTATAATTGCTGCTTCCATCCAGATCCTTCCTTACCTATCCGGATTCCTTTTACTTTCCCTGGCTTTGGAGTTAAGGAGTGTCAGGTCCTTAAGTCACTTTCAATTTTGGCTGAAAGGGATGGAGTTCCAATAGCTTCTTTGTGATTTTTGACCTTTTGAACCATAAAAACTTAAATTAGTGAAAAATGAGAACACTTTGAAAATTTAGATTGTGATGCAATTTTACAATGTTTTACTCTAACTCTTTAATAAATGAGGGTTGGAATCTATTAAAAATGTAGATATTAAAGAAAAGCAATTCAGTAGGATTTTGATGCTTCTCTTATACTTAAGGAAAGTATAAGATATTTGCAAACCACAACACCTGGTTTAATGCATTAAATTTTTCACTCTGACTACTTCATTTTGTGTAGAATAGAAATTAGTGCATTCATCCCAGCCCTACCAATTTCCTAGCCTTTTTTTAGGATAAAACTTAATAATGTATGTTTTAATTATAGGAATAAATAAAATCATTACTTTCATGCTCAACTTAAATATTCTTTTAAGTAAATAAAAATTTAAAACCCCACAAGTTTATTTTCATTGTAAAAGGTATGAAAAATACAGATAAATTGAAAATACTCTTTGAATTCTGTTCTCTGCTTCCTATCTGCCCCAAAACTTTTGGGGGAAAATTACTTGTTAGGATCACCTATTAGTTAATACTTGACCTAACTATATGGTCAAATATGGGAGCCAATATCTCTATGTGAGTATTTAATGTACATGTGAGTAAGCTATATTAAATAAAATTAATATTGTTAGTCACTCTAATCATATTTTAACAAATTTATTGAAGAGAAACCACATATTGCAACTATACTGGGCAGATATCCATCAATAAAGAAACTTTCATACACAACACTGCTCTAGAATTAAGTCCAGGAAGAGAGCATGTGGTAGAAAGAATAATGCTACTGCCATAATATCTATGTCCTAATACTACCTTACATTACAAAATGCTACCTTACATTACAAAAATGACTTTGCAGATGTTATTAAGCTATGGAGCTTGAGATGGGAAGATTATCTTAGATTATCTAAAGAGGCCCAATGCAATAAATAACATGGACTCCCTAGAAAGGAAGGCAAGATGTTCAGAGTCAAAAAAAGAAATTTAGTGATGGAAACAGAAATTAGAGTAAGCTCTTTGAAAATGGAGGAAGAGGCCATGAGCCAAAGAATGCAGGTGGCTTCTAGAGGTTGGGGGAAAAAAGCAAGAAAATGAATTCTCCCCTAGAGCCTCCAGAAGGAATGCAGCCTCCTGTTGCCATGACTTTAGGACTCATGACTTTCAGAATTGTACAATACTAAGTTTGCTTTGGTTTAAGACCTTATGTTTTTAGTAATTTGTTACATTCGCAACAGAAAACTAATACACATGACAATTGGTATTCCTATTCCTCTCTTAATGAACATTACTTATCTCCAGTTCTTTTTGTAATAAATAAAATGGCAATAAGAGTTTTTAATCTGCAGAAGCATATACTAGATTATGAAAAATGAAACACAAGAGAAAGCCAGGGATTTCAGGCCAGCAGGGATATGTGCAGTTTATGTTGATGATTTGCTTTCAGTAAAACACAATGAAAATGCCTGATTTGTTGCATTTAAAAATGCTTATATCATGATTAATTTCTAGCTCACAATAAGGTTAGAGAGCTAATTATATGTTTGTGTGTGAACTTGAGGGGGTGAGTAGGCCTCGTGTGGAAATAAAAATTAAGATGGCTGCTGTGTGATCAAGAGAAAGAGAAAAACTTCTTTGTGAACCTCAGAAATCAAATGTGACAGGGAGCAGTTTTTTTCACAGACACAAGTCCCTCAGTTTTTAATCTTCATTTGAAGAGTGCAGTTGGGAAAGAATGTGCCTTCAAGACCCCAACAATTTTCAGTCCTGGCACTTCAGTGGAATTGCTGTCTGTTTCAAGAGAATTATTGCTTACTGATCATGGCCTGGCAAACAATCACTTATAGATTAATGCCTATACAGATCCTCAGCACCAATCTAAATTTGTTCAAAACAATTTGTGTAACTGCAATAGCCAATGCAAAATTTTTCAGAACAAATTATTTCTCTTTACCCCATTATTTTAATTTTTCCCTTTAAAAATCTCCTCCTTCCCCTTGACAGAAAGAAAACTCATTAGGATTCTAATTAAATCTGTGTCTCCTGATTTGAAAATCTGAATCAAAATGGTCTCTGCTTTTATTTTCACATCATTTATGATTTCTTGGTTCACACTGGTCATTGCAGGTACTTCATTTTTTTTTTTTGAGATGAATGGAAAGTCACTGGAGAGGTCTGAGGGAAAGAGTGACATTATCTAAGCTAAATATGGCTCTTCTGTTGAAGATAAATAGGAACAGGCTGAGACACAGTTGGGAGGGTGTTGCAATAATCCAAGCATTCAAGTGAGAAACAATGGTGGCTTGGCCAAGGGTGGTAGTAGATATAGTGTGATGTGACCAGATAGGTTAAGTAGAGCTGACATGTTTGCTGAAAGATTGAATGTAGGAGTGAGAAGTAGGAAGCCCAAGCTGATTCCAAGATTTTTCTGACTTGAGAAATTTAAAGGACAGAAGTACCATAAGTTCTGATAGGAATGATGGTGGAAGGAACAGTTTTGGGGTTCAGGGGAAGATCAAAGGCTATTTTTGGTCATGTTACATTTAAGATGATATTTAGTTTCAGTCCAGTAAAGAACTGAGTATGCATGTCTGAAATTTAGGAAAGAAAATAATCAGGAGATGTAAATTTTGATTTTATACCCATTTTGGAGGAGATTGAAGATATAGCATGTGTGTATGTATGTTGATGGAAAAATTCATCAAAGAAGCACAATTCATGAAGCAGAAGTGATGAGAGAACTGCTAGGGAAACAAAGGGAAAAAAAGGGAGAAGGCTCGAATCTAGGGCACAAGGGGAGTGGGATGCATTACATATATGGGAACAAACAGAGGTTAGGTGAGTAGATGTAGTGAAAACATGCAGAAACTCCTTACAGTTGCTTGATTTTTTTTTTTTAGTGAAGCAATGCTATCAACTGAAAACGGTGGTGGAGTAGGAAGTGTAGGGAGGTTTGAGGAGAAAATGCATGACACTATTATTTAAGAGGATAGTTGAACAAAATACTTTAGAAATATCCAAGGATTTCAGCAATACTTAGAGCTCATGCCAGTGGACATAAATTTAATTTGAAACAGGACACAGGAGTATGTATGTGGTCTTCTTAATCCATTTTTAGTCAGAAAGCCTGCTTAGGCAGGGTTGAGATTTGTCGGGGGAGTATGAGAAAATGAATGAATGACTAGAGAGTTGAGGAGAAATGAAAGGGAGCATAATGACACACAATCGACTGCCAGGGGGAAGAGAAGGCACAAGGTGGGACTGGGGCATCAGAGGGACAGAGGTATGGGAGCGACAGAACAGAGAGAGGGCAGTAATCTTAGTGGTATCTAAGAATTGTTGTAGTTGGGATTCTGAAGAAACAAAGTTCAAAAGCTGGAAATGAGGTTGAAGAATAAGATGTTTGCATTGAGAATATAGAAGAGTAAAATATTTTTAACAATAAGGATTAGTGTATGACCACAGGCATGAGTGGCTTATATAGAGGGTAAGAAAAGATCACTGACAGAGAGGTGGTCTTGGAAATGAGAGACAAGATAGTGGAAGGATCATCTGTGTGGATATTTGGAGCATAATAATTATTATACCAGTACTGTTAGAGGTCATTATAATCATGTTGGTTCTCAACATGATTCATTATAATTCATTATAATCATGTTGGTTCTCATACCAGCAGTATCAGCGCCTCCTGAATATTTGGTTAGAAATACAGATAATTGAGTTACACTCACATGTCGTGAATCAGAAAATCTGGACTTGGGGGACCATGCAATGTTTTAACAAGCCCTGAGTGGTTCTGACGCAGATATAACTTTGAGAACTACTTTTACGGTAGCGCAGAAGATGTAAACTCTAGATTCTTGAAGAAATAAATTAGTATTTAAACTATACCTGAAAATTATTGCAAAGCTCAATGGGAGGGTTCCTAAAATGAAAGGGAGAAACATTTGTAAAGAAAAACTAGAAACATGAAAAGAGATAAGGCAAGATCAAACAAAATTATGGAAAGGTGAAAACTGTTAACTGTTCGTTTTAGATGACCAGGCCTTGCTAGGAAGATACTGGTTCTTAAGGAATCCTGATAAAAACACCACTTTTTTTTTTCCTCCATTCATCTACTTTTTAGTCCATTGGTACTAGGTTCAGTTTTAGAGGAAAAGGTTGAAGAACAAGTGTAGCTGCCCTGGCATATCAATTAATCTCTTCCTAATTTCTCATCTTTTTTAGGGAACCTACATGAAGCCGTTTGGATGCAGAAGCAATTCCAGCAAGCTGTGCACTTTATAGTCTTTAGGGAGCAGCCGGGACCCGCCCCCGTGGGCGTTTCCCACCTAACCGCCGGCGCTTCCGGCGGCGGAGCGCGCGTGCCTGACGTCATTGTGGAGCGCCGCGGGCTCTCAGTTGGCGGCGGATTCAAAAGGCCCAACGCAGTGTCCGGGACCCAGGCAGTCGTTAGAGCGCTGGAGTTCTCTTTACTTCCTCAGTATTGGTTAGCTTGAGCAGATCTCGAGAGGACCTCGGCAGCTGAGGCGGCCGGTGCCCGAGCGGGAGAATGGCGCTTTCGACCACGGTCTCCCAGAGGAAGCAGATCAAGCGGAAGGCTCCCCGAGGCTTTCTCAAGCGCGTCTTCAAACAACGGAAGCCTCACCTTCGTCTGGAGTCGCGTGGAGATTTACTGGTGAGAGAGTTCATCCTTTCTCGGCTGGGAATGGGGCCGGGGGAAGTAAGGGAAAATGGCCTCAGCCATCGTTGCTTGCTCCAGGCCGGTGTTTCAGGCATTTCCAGCATTAACGAGGCAGCTTTGCCGCTGCCGGCACGTCCATTCTTACTCCTGACCCCTGGCTATACTGGCATTCTCCGGAATATGGATATCTGGAACTTCTTAAAGGAACGCTGTCAGGAACATCAGCTCAAGGAGAAAACTATCCTTTGTCGATGTTTAGGAGTACCATTTGGCATTGTGATTTGCTTCCTTGAGAAGACTATGAGTGATATGCCCTTGAAATCGTTTGAAATTCAAAATGGGTCATATTTTTTTGTGTAATTGTTGTGATAAGCATTTTTAAGCTGCTCCTTCTTCGCTCCCTCATTTTTAAATAAATGTTAATCAAACTCATTGTCCTATTTCCTCTATAGTAGGCTGCTTACTAAAGAACTCTGATCCCAAAGGGCACCTAACTGTGAGTTCATTTTTCTAGACAATTAATATAATGCTTGTTAGTTCAATTTTTACGCCAGCCCATTAAAGCCTGTTTAACTGACCTATATTACCTGAAGCATGATGTTTTCCTAATAAGTAGCCTCAAACAAATCACTGTATGATATTTCTGTCTTGAAGTAAATTCAGTTTCTGTGTTGAATACTTGGAATACATATTCCTCTAGCAGAGTGAACACTATTCCCCCAGGCTTAAACCATAGGAAGCACTTCCTGAGGCTTGTCATAAGGACTTTTTTTGAGTAAAGGAGCCATCATAAGTGGACATTTAATTTCCAGAAGATCAAGGTACAGAATTCTGGATAACAAAGTAGTCTTCAGCATGCACTATTCCACCTGTTTTTAAATTTAATTTTTTTTCCAACCTCCCCTTTTCTCTCTAGGCTCTCAAAATTCTCCACTGATTTTCCATCTGTTGCCTTCTTTAAGGGAGTCTGTTTTTTTCTAAATTATTGTAACATTGTCTCCACTTTTCTCTAGTTTGGTCTTCAAAGCCTTTGGCAACCTTTCTTCCTGTTTTAGTCAGCTTTTTTTTTTTTTTTTTTCTGTTGTGAGTAAAAGACTTGACCAGAACAATTTTAGGGGAGGAAAAGTTGGCTCCATTCCTTGGGGATCTAGGTGAGGCTGAACATCATAGAAGTGTGTGGAGTAGGGAAGCAGCCCACATGATGATCATCAAGCAGAGAGAGACTCTAGTTTCCAGATGGAAAATATATACCCCATAGACACTTCCCTAATGGCCTGCTGCCTCTCGCCACACCCCACCCATCTTCAATCTCCAGTCTATCAGGAGATTTGGTTCAGACTTTGGTAACACAATCATTTCTTCTCCAAACCTTCTTGCATTGGCTCACGTGATCTTTTGGGGAACACCTGACATTCAAATCATAACACCCCGCTAGAAAAGTACTACTTCTAATATCTTGTGCCCTCATTTTTGTTCCTTTTTAATATTCTATAAGAAAAGGCAGTTCCTGCTGTTGTGTTCTCCCTCTCCCCTTTGGTGGTAGTACAAATGGTACAAATGGGCTGAATTAAGATGAAATTGACTTTCAGTACAATTTTAGGTGGTTTATTCTGGATTTTTTTACAGGGACTTTGGAATGTGGGGGAAAAATGTACCTCTTCAAGGATATTCAGGAATCTACCAGCTGGTGCAGATGGTTTGGAGAAATTTCTCAAGTAGTCAGCTTCTTCTCAATGTCCACTTTTTTCTGCCCCAGAGTAACTGTGGACAGATGGGCTCCATGGTGGGGTGGAATATAGTGGCATTGAAGAGAAAGGGGACTGGATATTCCAAGCCTAGGCAGTGGTGGGGAAAAGAAGTCTTGTGGCCACTAGCTATTCTCAAGTGGTATGCATGTTTTCTGTGGTGTTCATTAAACAGTTCTCCTTCTCTGTATTGTGTATGGCATGCATTAGCCTGCTTTCTTCGTTTATGTGTCTCTGTTTACCATTGACACTTCATAATCTTACCCAGCAGGTGTCCCACATTAGCTATGAAATGTTATACAATTAAAACAGTCTGTTTTGATCTCTTTTCTGAATATGAGCATCAATTAAGAGTATATATTATACTGTGGCTCCTAGTGTAATATGCAGTTCTTGAGAGGAAAAAAAACATCTATCACCCTTTATTTTTAAAAAAACAAAACTGTCTATTTTTGTGTGCTTATTAACATGATATTTATTTATTTTATTTTACACATACTTCTTCTGCCTGAAGATGTCTTCACCCTTCATTTGGCAAACTAATACTTTTAAACTCTAATTCAAATGCTACTTTTTTAGTGAAACCACCTTAATCTCCTTAAATGGAATCAAATTTAGCTTCCTTTTTATTATTTGCTGTCATACATTTGACTGATTTTTTTCATGGTTTTATTTACCCACTAATCTGGAAACTTGAAATGAGAACTTTTTATATTCCTTAGTGTTTACAACAATGCCTTGAAAATTCCCAGTGCATTGATAATATTGGAAATACATGGTACCTATATTTGGATTGATATAGATTTTAGCAATTTCCTCAAAGTTTCTTTTTCTTAACAGTTTTTCTGCACTGGCTTTTTGTTATTTTGTACTTGATTGTATATCCCCAGGATCTGTGTAGATTTAACATCTGTTAAATTTAAATGAATCATTCAGTTTTCTAATGGTTCACTTAATTTTTATATTTATCATAGAATGCCCTGCAAATATTTGGGGCTTATGGTTTATATAACATTGAAAAGTGCTGGCTGGGTGTGGTGGTACACACCTGTAATCCCAGTGCCTCGGGAAGCTGAGGCACAAACTCAAACCCAGCCTCAGCAAAATCGAGGTGCTAAGCAACTCAGTGAGACCCTGCCTCTAAATAAAGTACAAAATAGGGCTGAGATGTGGCTCAGTGATCATTTGCCCCTGAGTTCAATCCCTGGTAGCCCCCCACCCCACCAAAAAAAAAAAAAATATTGAAAAGTGCTACGATAAAGGGAGAAAGAAATCAGGCTGACCCAGGCTTTTGGTCAATTGAGACAGTAAAGAAATGGAAATATTTTCGTAAGTTGTCTTTTGATTTACCATTACAGCAAGCTAATTTTTTCAAAGTAAATTAATGATGTAAAAGTTTGTCTTTTTAAAATTTGGATACCTAACTAAATTCCTTGAAACTAGTTTTTGTTCTGACTATTTAAAAAATTAAGCTGTAGTTCATTTCAGTGACTCAGTTGAATTAACTGTTTGATTTTACGGATATAGGTTGCTTCAATTTTTTTTTCTTTTTTTTTTTTTTTTTGTGTGTGTGTGAGAGAGAGAGAGAGAGAGAGAGAGAGAGAGAGAGAGAGATCTAAAAAGGAATGCTGTATGTTTAGCTCATGGAAGTGAAGAGGAAAAGGAAAGTACATGCCATCAAGGATACTAGCATGATCTCTGTATGGTTTAGTTGGTTTTCTTTTTTCTCCTTAAAGTTTCTTTTCTTTTTCTCCTTATTTGGGGATATATGGAGGGATCTTTTGGTCGTGTAAGAATAATTTGCTACTTACCTTGTATTGGGAAGTGGACTGAAGGTCACTTGGGGAACAACATTGATAAGGATAGGAGTAGTTCTTGCACTTATAGTACATTGGAGAAGAAAGTTAAGTGTGAAATTAATGTATAATATAGTATGTGTGGTGATAGGAAGTAAGGATGAAATCATTGATCTGTATAATCTTCTGTATTACAGAAGTTGGGCTTTCAGGGCAGTCTACCTGCCAAAAGAATTTTTGGAGGTAACGTTCATTGGATTTCTAAAAGAACTTCAGAAGATTTAGTGTAAAACTGAGAGCTGAGACAAATCAGAGGTGAAACTGGAAAGGCCAATTCAAGTAGAGTGGAGTGTTAAGGGATATAGAATTTACCCTGAGGGCATCTGGAAGCTATTTATTTTTAAAAGTGGAAAATAAGATTAACAGATGAAATTGTGCTGTATTATGGAGGTGTTTGTTTTTTTTTTTCCCTGAATATTGAACCCAGGGCTTTATACATACTATTTAAATGCTGTACCACGGAGCTATATCCCAAGCTCTGTGGAGTATTTTTGCTATAAAAGGAGATGGAATATCATTGAAAGTTTAAAACAAATTAAGTTTCTTGGTAAAATGTAAAGAGTTAGAATTGGAGTGTTTTGCCTCAGGGTACTTTGAAAATCCACGAAGACAATGTGTCAAGTACAAGAAAAATATTATCTTCATAGGTTCTTCATCTTATTAAATTTAAATTTCTAAACTCTTTTCTTCATATACCACTGGAATACTCTTAAACACCTAATAACAACTCAGAGGTGTAACATTATCTGATTAACATTTAGTGAGCTCTGAGGATGTATTTGTGCGCTGTACACAAGATGAACATTAAGTATTAATTGTTTTAACTGCAGAGATTGTGTATTATGTAAATAACAATAGAAGTTATATGTTAAATATACTATCTAGACTACAAATTAGTACAACCACTCTGGAAAGCAGCATGGAGATTCCTCACAAAACTGGGAATGGAACCATCATTTGACCCAGCTGTCCCACTCCTGGGTTTATACAGAAAGGACTTAAAAATAGCATACTATGGTGATGTAGCCACATCATTGTTTATAGCAGCACAATAACCAACCTAGATGCACTTCAACAGATGAATGGAAAAAGAAATTGTGGCATATATATTCAATGGAATATTACTCAGCCATAAAGAATAATGACTTTATGACATTTGCTGGTAAATGGATGGATCTGGAGTTTTTCATGCTAAGTGAAATAAGCTAATCCCCCCAAACCAAGGGTTAAATGTTTTTGCTGATATGTGGAAGCTAAGCCACAAGGGTTGGGGTTCGGAGGAGAATAGAAGTTCAGTGGTTTTGACAAGAGGAATGAAGGGAAGGTAAGGGGGATAGGAATAGGAAAGACAATGGGATAAATCTGCTACAAATTTTCTATGTACATATATGAGTTCACAAGACTGGGATTCTAATAGAATATAGTCCATGTTTGTATAAATATATCAAAATAAATTGTCATGTATAACTAAAAAGAAAAACAAAAAGGATACTAACTAGATCCAAGTTGCTAATGCCCTCAGGCACCTTGCAGAAGCAAAGAATGGGAAAGATGTGAACAGTAATATAAAGGAGCATTACATATGATCCTAGAGGGAGGATTGAGATAGGACTTCAGTGCTCACTTTATTCTCTCTTGCTTGAGCTATATATATTTTACCAGTTTTCAAGGTGTGTGCATACAGATTGAGTAGCACTTTTTTGGTTTTGGATCTCTATTTTGAGTAAAATTAGTAATGTTAAAGAGCATATTCAGATAGTGAGATTTTATATATATATATATTACATATATATTTATATATATACACACACACATATATTTTATATAAACAATTTCTAATGTAAGCATTTATATATATGTGTATATATGGGACATATATAAGAACATGACATAAATCTGATGATATATGTGTTTTGCTTATATGTAAATCTTGTTTCTGTAAGAATATATCAGAAACTGGCTATCATGGTTGGTTAAGGATGATGTGAAAGAGTGACTTATTTTTGACAGTCTATGCTCTTATATTTTATATTTTGTACTGTTATTTGGAAATAATTACATTCTCACAAGAAGGTGCAAAAATGGTACAGAGTTCCCATGTATCCTTTACCCAACTTTCTACAGTTTCTTTACACAATTAGAACCCTTTAAGCTTTTGAATGTTGTACTGTTTATATTATCAAATAGTTTTTAAAAAGGAGGTTTAAAGATTATTAATTGTAGGTATGATTATTTTATGGAATTCAAGATAAGTAGGTTGACTTTGGCATGAAATTTTGTACTTCAACATTCTTTAGAAATTTTAGTTGTTATTTATTTTTAAATAAATTTTTGTAATTAAATATCTGGCTAAAATATCTTCTTAGATGTCTCATAGTGAATTAAGAGTTTTGATTTGATATTTTCTGGAAATTTAAATACATTACAAGTTTAAGTTTATTTGAAATCAGAAGTAGGACTCTAAGTTTTGTTATATAGTGATGCTTTTCAACCTTGTTTCTTGTATTACAAATGACTGCCTCTATGGATGAAATCTAAGATTGAGTTATATTAAACTGAATTCTATTTAGCTTTGTAGTTACTTGACTTAACTATTAGTAGCAAATAATATAATAAATTTTGACCAGAAACTTTATATAACCTTGAAATCTCTCAGAAATTTCTTTGCAGTGATTTCAATTTTCCCTATTTATTTTCCAGCTTTGTTTTGAGATTTGAATGACTTATGAATGAAACCTCTTACAGAAAAGATTGTATTTTTAAAAGTCATTTCGTACTATTATTTCAAACACATTAGTGTTTTAGCTTAAAAATTGGTTTGGATTTTCTCTTTTAAAGGTTCATTTGAACTGTTTACTCTTTGTTCATCGATTAGCAGAAGAGTCCAGGGCAAATGCTTGTGAGGATAAATGTGGAGTCATTAACAAGGATCATGTACTGGCTGCAGCAAAGGTAAAATCGAATTTCTTATTCTTGAGTTAGAGTTAACTTAAAAAATACCACCTGAGTCATTACCTCTGCCTGATTAAGGTACCCTTTTCAGCTTTGTTGTTTGAGTTGTTATTTGACTTTTCATATTGATGGATTTTTCATACTCACACACACGTACACATGTATATAATATGTATATTATGGATTTCTGATGGCAAGTTTAATGGCCACCATTTTATCACTAAATGGGAGAAAGTGAATGTTTGTTTGATTGGTAATCTGTGGGCAAAAAAACTTTATAACCTTGAAATTTGTCGAAACTTTTTTATTTTAAGTTTCCTGAATTATTTCCTAGCTTTGTTTTGAGATTTGATTGATTTACAAATTAAATCTCTTACAATCAGAGAAGATTGCATTTTATTGGTATAACTATATAATGTTAGAATATGATGCCTAGGACAGAATTTCCCAGATATGTTCCTGAGAATCTTCTTTCCAAAAGATGTTCATAGATGCCCCACCTCATAAGCTTCTATGTTCAGAAAAGTGAATATACCATACCTCCTTTATTAGTCACAGTGTTGTTTATATGTGGAGCTTTTCTATAAGAATCTGCAAGAAACTGGTCACTGTAATTGATGGGATGGTGTAGAAGAGAGAATTAGTTTTGACAGATTACCTTTTTGTTGACTTTCAAAAGATTTTTATTTTGAAATAGTTGTAGACTAACAATGTGCAAAAACAGTTTAGTGCTCCATGTACACTTTACCCATTTCCCACAAATGCCAACATCTTATATAACTATAGTTCTATAAAGTTATGAAAGTTTATGAGAAATGTACCAATATGAAACTTGCTGAACTCTGTTCAACTTGCATTTTATAAATTTATTTGAGTACATATAAATATTTAGCATTTTGTAAATTCATTTGAGTACATGACACTCTCTTTTCTGCTATCTGTATTAGTAGAATTGCTGGTCTAGATTATAGACCTGTTTGAGGGCCTCTGTGGAAGCCTTGGAGCATCTGTCAGTTTTAGGCTTTTTATGGGGCTGGGGATGTGGCTCAAGCAGTACTGCGCTCGCCTGGCATGTGCGGGGCACTGGATTTGATTCTCAGCACCACATAAAAATAAAATAAAGATATTGTGTCCACTGAAAACTAAAAAATAAATATTAAAAAAATATCTCTCTCAAAAAAAAAAGAGGCTTTTTATGTTCTCTTGCTGTTACAAACATTCTACTATTAAGAGTCACAATAAACTTTTCCCCTCTGAAAGGAAAGCAAGAACTCAGAGCTTAATGATGTGCGTGTTTAAACTTAGATTTGTCTTTATTAATAAACTATATAAGTGTACCTAGCCAAAACAGTATCCAAGTTCTTTTTCTTTCTTTTTTTTTTTTTTTTGTTTTAAGTTGGGAGACCAGTTAAGATCTTATTTTGTCTTATTTCTGTCACAGTGAAGTGTTTTGAAAATTGTCTACTTAATAGGCTGTTCAATAGAAGATGATCGGTCTTGATCTCCAACTGATATAATTCTAGCCCAAATGTGAGAAATTTTACATGTAGAGGATTTGTGCTACTTTATAGTTGTGAAATACCTGATTTGTAATAGCTTTTTGAGCATTCTCTATATCCTTCTGTCACCAATTTCTAAAAACTTCAAGTTTGAGAACATTAATCTGTATCCTTTTACAAGACAATTGAAGATATTAACAGCTAGAGGTAATTATTAAGACCAAGTTTTGAGGATGTAAACATGTTTTACATTCCATGAGAGAAGTAGACTATTTAGAGGAATTTAAGATCATTGTAAGGCAAAAATATTCCCTAATTACCTTCTGAACTGGCTTTTAAAAATGAGATAAAGACTTATATATTGCTCACAAAGGGCTATGAGGAATTATGTTTTGTTTTCTGTAGGTATAATATAAATTTTCATTTTTTTCCCTTCCACAGGTAATTCTAAAGAAGAGCAGAGGTTAAAAGTCAAGGAACGTGTTCTTGAAAATTATATGATATGCTGTTTTAGGTGGTAACAAGTCATTAACATGTTTTTTATTTTGGATTTTTTCTGTGGGTTATTAAAATATTGGCTAGATGAGGAATGTGTCTATTTTTTTGTTGGCATTGAAATATCTCAAACACAAAGGACTATTTTACATTTTAAAAAAATCTATTTTAAGAGAACTCTAGTTCTTTTTACTTGTTTTTTTCTTATAAATGTTTTAAATATCAAACATGAAGTCTGACTGTTTTAAATGGCTTGAAGAGATGTACTTTATACAATTAAGTTTATATATTTAGATTTAACCACAGCTGTGCAACAAATTTAATTTCTACAGAAGGACAATATGGAGTCAGATCAAGGTACATTTTAAATTTGTGTGCCCCCCCCAGTGCTTTCACAAAGCAATACAATCTACTTTTTTGTTATATCAATAGTAACAATATAATTATCTGAACATCACTTGGGTTTTTTCAAAACACATCTTCTTCTCCAAACCAAAAAACAGGAATTTTGGTCAAATTCAGTTATTTTCTTCAAATTGTGTGGATTTAGTAGGTGGGATATTTTCTCCCCTTAAATCATTTAGAAGTTTATTGCATATATCCAATAGTGGTTGTTGTTGTTATTATTATTATTATTATTATTTAACTTTTTGAGCTCATTATAGATTCCAACTTGAAGCTACAAAGGTAGTACAAAGAGGACCCATGTATTCTATACTCAGTTTTCCCAATGGTTATGTCTTACATACTTACAGTATATCACAACCAGGAATTTTTTTTTACAAGTAGTGTGTTTGTAGTTCTACACCATTTTATCATTTGTAGATTCATATAACTACTACCATAATCAATATATAGAACTATGTCATTACCACAAAATCTTCCTGATGCTGTTCTTTTATAGTTACACCTGGCCCACTATGTCTTCCACCCTGGCAAACATCCCTAACGCCTGGCAAGTACTAACTGTTCTCTGTCTCTGCAATTTTGTAGTTTTGAGAGTGTCATATAAATGAAATTACATAAGAGATGATCTTTGGAGAGTTGTTTTTTTTGTTGTTGTTGTTTTTTAACTCAGTATAGTGATTCATTCAAGTTGTCATGTTTTGGTAGTTCCTCTGTGTTCCCAAGTGATTTTTTTCATGGTGTGAGTTTATCACAATTTAACTGTTTACTTATTGATCGGTATTCTGTCCCCTTCCCCAGTTTTGGGCTATTAAAAATAAAATTGTTATGAACAATTGTATAGTTTTTATACATGTATCAATTTTCATGTCTCTGGGATAAATGCCTGGCAATTTGATTGCTGGGTCAAATGGTAAATATATGTTTAACTTCTAGAAAAGAAATCACCAAACTATTTAGAATGGCTGTATCATTTTATATTTCTATTAATAGTATATAGAAGATCACTGTCTTTACGTTCTCATAAACATTTACTGTTAATTTTTTAAATTTTAGTTATTCTTACAGTTTTAATTTGCAGTTTTGTAATGGCTTACACTCGTTTTAATTGCGCTGCTGAAACAAAGTAGTATAAAGTGAGCAGCTTATAAACAACAGATTTACTTCTCAGTTCTCATTGTTGGAAGTCTGAGATCAGTGTGTCACCATGCTTAAATTAACACTTGTGTTCTGGTTTTTTTTAGAGTTTTGAAATATTTTGAAAAGTTCTCAACATAAAGTTGCTTCTTCATTAGTTTTTATTATTGTTTAGATGAGATGCCCCCCCCACTGGCCAAAGCTCCTGTTAATGCAGGAATATGCTGAGGTCAAATGTTTAAATTATGAGAGCCGTAAACTGATCAGTCCATCCTAGTTTCAATGAACTGTTAACTGGGTGGAAGAAGTGTGTGTGTGGATGCTTTGAAAGGGTTGTTCTTGCTGTGGCCCCTTCTTCCTCCACCACCTCTCTCTCTCTTTCCCCGCTTCCTGATCCTGCCATGCTCTGGGTAGTTTTCTCCCACACAACTCTTCCCCCATGATGTGCTATCTCTCCTTGGGCCCAGATCAGTGTAATCAGTTCTCTGTGGACTGAGATCTCTGAAACCATGAATCCCAAATAAACTTTTCCTACAAATTTTTCTTGTTGAGTATTTTGTTCACAGTGACAAAAAAAAAAAAAAAAAAAAAAAAGTTGAATAAAACAGTTTTGTTTAATGATGGTATATATTAAGCAAAAAATTTCACTTTGACATTGGAACTAAGACATCCTGTTAGGAAGTTGCTACTCTTGGGATGTACTTATAAAATAATTTCCCAGAAAGTGACATTGGGATGATGGTGGACTAGGAGGTCTCAGTGCTCATGTGTTCCCCATAAAATAAAACATAACAAGAAATATTGTTGAAATTATCTTTGGAAAAACTTCATTGTATAATGAGGAACTTTCAGCAACTCCTAGCACAAAAAAGGAAGGCAAAAATAAATATTATAGAAGATCTTATGTATGTTCTAACATCCACTAACCCAGCATAACTTGTCACCAGAAGAATCTCTTCTACATGACCTCTCTCTGCAAGGCAAAACAATAGCAGGAAGATCTGGCAGCACTTGTCATTGCAGTGAACATCTGCCAGTTTTACCACCAAGGACTTTAAAGTCTGCCAATGATGATCTCAGCTATTGCACCTGCTCACAATACACACTGCTGTGCAACTTTGCCCTCAACCCCTTTAGGAAGAGCCGTTGATGTGCCTGCCACCCAAGGGCCTGACTTGCTGTGCTTCTGTCTCCATGCAGTTGTACGTATATTCTGGAGCTGAGGTTGCAACCTGCATACTTAGAACCCTAGCTCTGAGGCCATTTTGTGGAAGGCTGTATCTCTGATACTGATGCCACTGCTATAGAAAGCACACCTGTGTCCCAGTGTCCTAGTCAATGCATACACCCTTTGCAGTTTACTTAAAATACCTGATATAACCAACATTGTGTAAATAGCTATGCTGGATTGTTTAGGGAGTAAGGTTAAGAAAAAAATTCACATGTTCAGTACATGTGCAATTTTTTAAGAAAATATTTTCAATCTTTCAGGTTGAATTCACAGATGCAGAACCTGTGGATACATTGGGCTGACTATAATCATGTCAAATGTAAATGGATTAAATCCAGTCAATCAACATAGATTGAGGATTAAAAACAAAATAAATTGGTGATATATTGGCTACAAGATACTCTCTTTAAAGACACATAAGCTGAAAGGAAATGAATGGAAAATATACTTAAGTGATAACCAAAGGAAAGCAGAAATGTCTGTACATAGGCAAAATACTGTTTTAAGTCTAAAATTCTAGGCACCACAAAAGTTGATAGAGTATTATAAAAAGGCCAGTTCAACCGGAAGATATGATAGTGATATTTGTGAGCTTAACATTGGAGAACTTAAAGCTGATATTGACAGATGTGACATAATTAACAGTAATAAAATAGTAGTTTGGGACTTCAGTATTTTCTTCAAGCAAGAGATAACATCTAGACAAAAATTATTAAATGAACAAAACTGTAGGCCAAATGGTCCTAACAGACATATATAAAAATTTCCACTTAACAGTAGAATACAAATTCTCAAATGCTAATGGAACAGTTTCCAGGATGGACCACATATCACAGAATAAGTCTTAACAAATCTAAGGAGATTTAAATCATTCCAAGAATCTTCTGACCACATTGGAATGAAATTGAAAACATCAGTAATACTGGGAAATTAACAAATATTTGGAAACTTAACCGCACTCTTGAAAACTATTTTTTAAAAAACTTTTTGAAAAAAGATCAACAAACAGGCTAAGGGAATAAAGTAATTAGAATGGAAGAGGAGACATTACAACTGATGCCTCAGAAGTAAGAAGAAGAATTGTCAAGGACTATTTTGAACAATTATGTTCCAATTACTGGATAACTAGAAAAGTGGATAAATTCCTAGAAACAACTTATCAAGAGTGAATCACAAAGTGGAAAATCTGAACACACCAATAACAAATAAGAAAAATTAGTAATCAGAAATCTAATAAGAAAAACTCAGTACCAGATAACTTCAAGGGTGAATTCTACCAGAATTTCAAAATCTTTGTTTAACTCTTTCAAAAAATAGAAGAGGGAACTCGTTCTATAAGACTAACGTACTTTAATACCAAAACCAGACACAAACATACTGTCCTGATGTACATAGATATAAAATGCTAGCAAACAACACAGTAATGGATCCTAAGCCAACACCAAGTTGGGTTTGAGTTTGGGATGTAAAGATGGTCAACATATGCAAATAACACATCACATTAATGAATGAAAACCACCTGATCATGTTAGATGCAGAAAAGGCATATGATAAAGTTTAACATCTATTTAATTAAAACTTCACCAAACAGGTTTGGAAGGAATGTACTTCAATACAATGAAGACCGTATATGAATGCTCCTAGCTAACATTAATGGGAAAAACTGTAGAGCATTGCTTCTAATATCTGGAGAAAGCAGTCTACACTTATCACTTCAGCGTAGCCTTAGAGATCTTCTGGAGCAATTGGATAAGAAAAAGAAAAGATACTCAAGTCTGAAAGTAAGCAATAAAAATCTTTGTTTTCAATTCACTTGATCATATTGCAGGATATTTTATATATTCAAAACCTGAATTGTTTAAGGCTTAATGATCATACGAAATTCAGTCATGTTTCTGTATACAATGAAACAACCCAAGATGAAATTAAGAAAACAATACCATTCACAATAGCAAGTAACAACAAAAACCATAAAGCAAATAAATCTGAACAAAGAAGTGAAAAACTCATACATGATTATAACATTGATGAAGGAAATTAACAAAAGGATAAATGGAAAGAAATGTTCATGCATTAGAATAGTGTTAGGATGCAATGTTACTCAAAACAATCTACAGATTTAGTGATAATCAAAACCATGGCTCAGTGGTAGAGCCCATGCATGAGGCACTGGGTTCTATCCCCAACACCACATAAAAAAAAAAAGAAACAAAGGTATTTTAAAAAAATTCTAATGGCATTCCTTTAAGAGGGGAGGAAAAAAAAAAACCTGAAGTTTATATGGATGCCAATAAGACTTCAAATAGTCAAATTTGAGTAAGAAGAACAAAGCTGTGGGTATCCTGTGCTGCTACCAAAATATAATGCAAAGCTACAGTAATAAAAGAAATGTTTACATAATAGTGTACATACAGACAAATAGAACAGAGTACCCAGAAATAAGAGGATGTGTTGAATGAAAATTGGTCTTCCACAAGTGTGCCAAGGCAGTAGAGAAAAGGTATTCTCTTCAATAAATTGTGCTGGGAAAATTAGCCAAATACAGAAAAATGAAGTTGGACACCTATTTCATTCTGTAATCAACTCAAAATGGATTAAAGACTTAAATGAAAGACCTGAAATTATAAAATTGCTGGAGAAAAATAGGAATAAAGCTCTTGACCTTGACCTTTGTCTGGATATGACACCAAAAGCATAAACAACAGAAGTGAAAATACACAAAATTTCATCAAAAATTTCTACACAACAAAGGAAATAGTGAAGAAGCATCCTATGAAATGGGAAAAAAATGCTTGCAAAACATATCAAGTTAGTATCTAAAAAAAATAAATTTACAAGCCCAATAGCAAAAATAAAATAACTCCATTTAAAAAATGGGTAAAGATGTTATTAGTTCTCCAAGAGGATGCATAAGTGACAAACAGGTATATGAAAATGTGTCCAACCTCACAGGGATATTCATTTCAGAAATAATGAAAATGCCATATTACATGTATTAGAATAATTATCAGAAAGTTGGAAGTATGGTGAGGGTGTGAAGAAAAGGGAACTTTTATTCATTGTTGATGGGAATGCATGTATCTCACACCTGGGTTATTTTAGTATCCTATGCAATCTCTGTTTTCTTGCCCTACCTTTACATAGCCCATAGTCCCCACAACTCTTGAGTCATCTTTCTAAAATGTAAACATAATCATCTCATAGAACTATTGAAAAACCTTCAGTGGCTTACTTATGTCTTGGCTAAAATGGAAGCTATGTATAACATTAATTATGATCTGGTACAGTGTTGTGTGGCAAGTTTTCCAGCTAGGTGAGTATGTTAATGAACAGAGAAATTTCAGCATCTCTGAATGAATTCAGCCACCTTCAAGGCAGGGGTATTGCTCCTCTGAGCACTCTGATTGATATTTCACTGATTAGAGAGAGCTCAGTTTTTTGCTGACACCTTGTGCTGAGAGAATTCTCTCTCCCACAGAATTTATTGGTTCAAACAGCTGTAGGTACAAATGCAGCTGCCCAAGGGTAGAGGAGATATCAGTGTGTCCAAATAGCCTTGAGGTGCCAGCTGCCTAGAGGAGGAAGAAATACTGTGGCAAGTTGATAATCTCCCAATTAGGCTATATCCCCCCGCAGCCTTTTATTTATCTTGTAAAAGTTTACAATAAATTTATCTGATGTGTTTGCATATAAAATAAAACACACAAGCCCTCATTCTTTGTTAGAGGTCAGACCCATCTGGCTGACCAACCCACCAAGCCCCACTTTTAACCTATTTTCCTGCCCTTTGTCTTTCCTTTATAACTTTTAATTTTCTCAATCCTTCTCACAGTCTGTGTCTAGTGAACTGTTCATTCGCTGTGCAGGATGTAGCAAGGGAGAATCAGGTATTACCCCCAGGGAGCTACAGAAATCAAATTATGAAAGACTATCATGGGGTAGCCATATCCATCTTGGCAGCCTAATTTTTCTGTGTAACATAAAAAAATATTTTTGGAAGAATGCCTCCTTGCTACGCCTCTTTTTCTTTACCTTGGGCATCTATATCTATCTAATAAACATGCATAATGTAGTTATTTGTGGCTACTTCTTCCCAATGAGGGTCTTTTAAATAATCTGCACTTTGTATATTCTCTGTTAATAGAGTTCTGTGGGCTATTTTTCTATCACACTCCAACCCTTAATTGTGAAAGCTTCTAGAGAGTATGTTTGTAGGTGTCTATAATTGATGCGTAAAATAGGATTCTGACTGGGTGATTGGTGAGGCTTCAAGATTTTGCCTCTATAGAGACCCACACTCTTGATGC